GCGGGCCCGAGGACCGAGCCCTGCGGAACCCCACTACCCACATCCCTCCAGGTCGAAAATGACCCATCCACTACCACTCTCTGGGTGCGGCCCTCCAGCCAGTTGGCAACTCATTTGACTGTGTAGGTGTCGACACCACAGTCCCCCAGTTTCCTAATGAGAACGGGGTGAGAGACAGTGTCGAAGGCCTTCCGAAAGTCCAGGAAGACTATGTCCACTGCTACCCCTGCGTCTAAGGATTTGGTGATCTGGTCACAGAAGGCCACCAGGTTGGTCTGACAGGACCTGCCACTGATGAACCCATGTTGGTTGCCCCTAAGCATAATCTCCCCTGCTGACTCCTCGTGGACATACGCCAGGATAATTCTCTCAAAAAGCTTGCCCAGGATCAAGGTAAGACTAACCGGCCTATAGTTTCCTGGGTCCTCCTTCCTCCCCTTTTTGGACATGGGAACCACATTGGCCCTCTTCCAGTCCTCTGGCATCACACTAAAACACCACAAGTGCTCGTAAAGCTGTACCAGGGGTCCCGCAATGACCTCAGGCAATTCCCTCAGTACTCTAGGGTGGAGATCACCCGGACCGGCTGATTTGAATACATACAGTCCCTCCAGAAGTTCCCTAACTAGTTCCTCACTAACTCTTGGCCTAGGTGCGCCTCTCCTGGGGTCGAAGGGGGGCCCAGAGGGGAGGTGTTTTTTCCGGTTCCTGCTCAGGAAAATGGAGGCAAAGAAATCATTAAATATGTTGGCTTTGTCTCCTGGTGTGACGACCAAATTTCCTAGCGTGTCCTGCAGGGGACCCACATTACCCGGAACCTTCTTTTTGCCCCCTATGTATTTAAAAAAGGACTTCTTGTTCAGCGGAATAGACTGTGTAGCAAAGCTGTGGAATCTCCATATTTGGAGGTGTTCAAGAAGGGCTGGACAAGCACTGGTCAGAGATGATCTAGGAGTATCTATGCCTATGTTCTACAACTGGTATTTCCCATGCTTCTGGGCTTTGCTGGATGTCACATGGCGCTGTGAAGGGATTCTTTTCCCCCTCGTGCTGTTACATGCATCAGGGACTGTGGCAGGATTTACCCTCCTCAGAAGCTCTGGGGGTTGCTTGCAGCTAAGACTGGGAATGTTGACTGGGGTGTTGCAATCCTCCTGCTAGGACTAAAACCCAGAGGTTCCAGGCTAGGTCTTGCCCTTCCACTCAGGGTCAGACTGATCACCATATTTGGTATCAAGAAGGAGTTTGCATCCCATGGTGAGACTGGTACAGAATGTGGGGAGTTTTGCCTTCCTCTGTAGTGAAGGGGTGGCACAGCAGGAGGAAGAGGGGGTGGCTCTTGAAATCCTTCTTACTGGGATCCCTCAAACATATTTTAAACAACCTTTGTAGTTGCAGGACACTGGCTGCTCTTGTCCCCCTGTTTTACCTGTGGCAGATTAAGCTATTACATTTTATGGTTGTGTAAGGGTTGACTGTGTAGTTTTACTAATAGGTTAGACAATAGATTTGTATATACCGATTTGGATAGGGATGATCCTGCCTCTGGCAAGGAGCAGGGCTAGAGCTCTGGAGGTTCCTTACAGCCCTACTTTTCTATAATTCAATATATAACTACAAGGCGAAAAGAGAAGACAACTCCTGAAGCAGGAGATAGGAGGTTGGAAAGAAAGGTTTAACTTGGAGGGAAGCACAGAAGCCAACTCTCTAGCACTCTTTCCCCTGATTTATCAATGGGATGCACTGAACTCGAGAAGGATAGAGGGCCTCAGCTTCAGTATTTTGGGGCTTGTATTTTTTTCTCTGTTCCAGCTAACATTTTCCAAACCCAATTAGATGGGGGAGGAACATTTCATAGGCAGGGTTTTATCAATCCCCATGAACCCTCTCCAGGTACAAGGTTTCTTCCTGAGATACAAACCAAATACGGCCCCAACCAGTCAGGGAAAGTGAGATTTTTACTACTCACCAGTTTCATGTTTAAATCTGGTATCTCAGTATCAGTGCATACACAAAGGGGTTTACTTAGTTTTTTATACTCTTTGGTTAGTGATTTAAATTTTCAAACTGAAAAGGGAGAGGTCCCTATTATTTAGTGGAAAAGATAATTCCTAGCAAAACTGCTTAAAAGAAACATGTGAAACTATAAAATGTACAAGCCCATAATCAGATTCCTAGAATGGGAATGAACTTAATTTTCACATTCGCTACTGTTCTCTAATTTTAGTATTGTCCGAATAAGAATTTCTTGACAAATTTAGTCTTCAAGCATAAAGTATAGCCATTTTGCCAATTAAACTTTTATAATTACTATTTACTTGGAGCCATTATAAAGCAGACAGATATCAAGCCATTTTAATCTAATGCTTATATTTGAGAAGACCAGCATAGGTCATTTTTGCCAACAAAAATTAATAAGAAAAATTTACCACAGGTGTAGTGCATGCATCCACAAGTCGTATAAATATTACTATCTATGTTTGGAAGTTCTCCCTGTATGTATAAAAAAAGAACAAACAAGTTTACCTTAAACTAACCTTCAACACTAACAAAAGACATTCTACTCTTAAAATAACAAACAATATTCCCACCACTCCCACCCTTTGCTGTTGGACGGAAAAAGAAATCATAATATACTACAACAAACAGCAGGCACAAAAATATCAGATGAACATAGTACCTCCACAATAACAAAGTAATTCATTTTCTTTTTGTCTGAACTTAACATTAGAGTAGCCCAACAGCAGTTTTACTAGTGTTTTGAAGTGGTTTCCTTTATTTTAGATACATTTTTAAGTAACAAATCCCGGTTATTTCAGTAATAAACTTACTATACCAAATTACAACTCATGCTCTGTTACTCAAAGGGGTTGCAGGTGGCTGCAACAAAGCAGCTTGCAGGTGGCTGCACTCCCAGTCAGACACAATTGCTTGATTGGGAACAGGACCCAGCTGTTTATTGTAAGAACAGGGCTCTGAGCAGTGGAGCCAGCAGTTTGCTGCAGGCAGCTGGGTAGAAAGTATCACCCAGCTGGAGCTGCTGTTCAGAACACCTTGGAGGTACAGGGCAAGAACTACGGGGATGGCAAGAGGTTCCTGGTTCCAGGGCATGACCCAGAACTATACCCTACTTGGGCTGGATCAGGTGGTAGGACTACGGGTGGAGAAGCAGTTTTCAGGAAATGCCAGACCTGTGCCTCCCCAGTGAAGGGTGAGTATGAGGCACCCGAAAGCCTCAGCCCTGCTGCCTCCTGGGTACTCCATGGAGGGGAAAGGCCAGAGAAGCACACCCTGAAAACAAAGCAAAGGGCCCAGATTCACTGTGTGGAGCCTGAGGCAGGGTCCTGGTCAGGTGAAAGAGCCAGAGACAGCTCAGGTCCCCAGTGAAGCCTGAGGCATACTAAAGGAGCTGCGTGTGAGGCTCCAGGGGGATGGGATGAGGCCCAGTGTTGGGCAAGGGGATTGAAGCCCCAGTGTTGGAGGCATGTGGGGACCAAGAGGGTCCCAAGCCAGGCAGGGAGCCCAAGGAAAAGGGAGGGGCTGGGAGCCTCAAGTGGGTGTGATTGTGAGCCTAGTGTGAGTGCACAGGGATCAAGACTTCTGATTTGAGGGCATAGGGATTGCAAGCTTCAGTGCGAGGGCACAGGAGTGACAGCCCCAGTGTAAGGCACTGGAGTAAGGGTCCCAGTGTGCAGCCACGGGAGTATGGGTCCCAGTGTGCGGCCACTGGATGGACACCTCAGTGTGGGGTATGCTATAAGCTGGGTGTTAGGCCAGATAAGCTTAGGCCAGGTGTTAGGCCATGAATGCCATCTATGAGGCACAAGACATAGTATAAGAGAAGGTTCAGAGCCATGTATAGACCCTTAGCATCAGGGCAAGTAAATGGGCAGCCTCCTGCCTTGTTATCAACTTTCAACTGTTTCATCCAAAGCATGGCAAGAGAGGTAGGTGCGCAGTTTGCCCTGAAACAAGTGGGCAGGCCAACAATCAGACAGGCTCTGGGACGCCCACTTGTCACAGTTACATATAGCTAGAAAATACCACTTTCAGCTCTAAAATTTCTTCTGTGACTTCCATAAATTGGTCAAAATTCTTGTACTAACATACTCCTTGCAGTTGATTCAGAATTTGATCTATATATACTATATTCCTTGCATTATATCAATATTAAACACTCCTCATATGGGAGAAGGAACGTGTGAGCATTTGGTGAGGAAAACACACCTTTCACCACAGACAGTAGGAGATAAAACATTTATTACTGGTCATATTCTATGTCATAGTGGCTAATTTCTACAAATAGAAAATGTGATCAGAGGACAGTAAATGTAACTTTTCATAGTTACAAAGGTCAAAGATATTAAGCATCTCTAACAGGAAGTATGTGATATTTTATAAAACAAGTCAATATTATATATTATTCCATTAATATATTAATACATCTTGACCCATTACTGAAATGGAACTTTTAAGAGGTAAAATTTTAGGCTTATTAGTTCTAGACAATACTGAACAAAAATGCATACCGTATTTTCCATACAAGGCTGCATATTTCATGCACCTTTTTTGCCAAAAACCAGCTGCTGGAATTTGGAATGCACGTTATATATGATGAAACACAATAAGAGCAGTTTGTTTTTGCTTTCACCTGGTAGAAGCGTAAGGAGCACAAAGTCTTTGAATGATCTACAATGAGCAGAACAATAAGCAGGCTCAGCTCCCTAGCTGCTGCTACTCAGCTACTTACTACAAAGAAATATTTGTCTTTCAAAAACAAGGTGCATGTGTATTTCATTCCAGGACACATTGTATGAGAGAAAATATGGTAAATATTTTCTTTCCTCATCTTCTTAAAAGCACAAAACCAAATTTTGTCAGTGGATTATTGGTTGCAGTATAGAGAAACTATATAGAAATCCCAGAAGATTATGTTTTTTGTCTGGAGAAAGATAACAAGTCTTCCCCATTTTGCAGTCTGTTTGCTGGCCAATGTATACACTGGGGTTACAAATGCTCCAATCCCATAGCCTATGATAATGAACCTCAGAAAGAGATGGAAAAACAACAGTAGATAAAGAGAAAAAAAAGGAATAAAATGCTGAACATTTTTACTAAATGGTATCAAAAGAAAAATCTCTTACCAGTTTACAAGTTGGTTTGGTAATGTTTTCACAGCTACATTCTGAGAAGAGAGCAACAACTTCTATTAGTCAAAAGGTCTTGATTTGTAATAATAAAATGAACCAGTAGAAGAACAGAAAATAATTACCACAGTGCCACTCAGGACAACACTGCCCAGGTATATGTTCTTTCACAAGTTTCATGTCATCTGTGCAATTCAGAAGAGGCATTGAACAAAGGTTCTCATCACAAACTAGAGAGAGAGAAATGACATGGATCAAGATATTTTTTTCAGCTCATATTTCCTTAGCTTAGTTTTTCTAACTATGCCAAATTTCTCATATAATTTTGATATTACCACTTGAGGCATCAGCTCACTTTCATCAATGTGAGATCCCAAAGATGGGATAAAGTGCACACTCAGCAAGTTTGCAGATGACAACAAGCTGCAGGGAGTAGTAGATATACTGGAGGGTAGGTCTAGGATTCAGATGGTGTATCTACATGAAATACTTTACTGCACAGTAGACTAATCTACTGTGCAATAAAAGAATCACTGTCTACACATGCATACCATTTATTGTGCAGTAAGTTGGTCTACTCCCTGTAAATACAGATCATAACCTAACTGCGCAGTAGAGACTATGAAGTAGCACGAGTGTAGACTGGCCAGGAGCAAACTTGCAGGAGCTGAGCAGCAATCAGATGGCGGTAGCTCTCTGCCCCCCTGCTACCCCCCCCTCGATCCTAGCTACTCAGCTGCTGGCTCCCCACAGGAGCTGGGAGCTAAGCAATGCTGGGACTCGAGAGCTCTGCTTCCTACACGTTCAGGAGCTGGCCTGGAGCTGCCCATTTCTGGGGAGGCTCCAAGCCAGCTCCAGGCTGTATGGGGATTTCTCTGAGCAGCCTGGGGTTGGCTGGAAACTGTCCCGCATCTGAGGCAGCTCTGGGCTGCATGGGAAAATTCAAGAAGGATGTGGACAACCTTGAGGAGGTCCAGAGGAGGGCTACTCATATGATTAGAAACCTGCAGGAAATGGCTTATGAGGAAAGGCTGAGGGAGCTGGACCTTTTCAGCCTCTGTAAAAGAAGGCCAAGGCCGTATACAAATTCACCGGGGGGAGGTTGGGCAGGAGGGAATAGGAGATGCTCTGTTTACCAGAGCACCCCTTGGAATAACCAGAAGCAAAGGCCACAAGCTGATGGAGAGCAGGTTGAGGTTGGACATCAGAAAGAACTTCTTCACACTTAGGGTTGCCAGAATCTGAAACGGACTTCCAAGGGAGGTGTTGCTCTCCCATACCTTGGGGGGGTCTTCAAGAGGAGACTGGACAAGCACCTGGCTGGGGTCACATGACCATAGCACTTTTTTCTGCCCCTGGCAGGGGGTTGCATTCCATGATCCTTTGAGGTCCCTTCCAACTCCCAGTGGAAAGGAGGGATCATCACCAAGGAGAACTATTCTACAGTTGCTCGGGGATGTAGGGGGATGGTTAGGAAGGCCAAGGCAGAGATGGAACAGAGCTGGCTTCCTGGATTAAGGACAAGAAGTCCTTTTTTAAATACATAGGGAGTAGAAAGAAGGCCCCAGGAAATGTGGGGCCCTTGCAGGACAAGACGGGGAATCTGGTTGTCACGCCAGACGACAAAGCCAACATATTTAATAACTTCTTTGCCTCTGTCTTCCTCAGTAAGGACCAGAACTGCCACCTCCCTGCTGGGCCCCCTTC